CCAGAGATTTTTCCAACTGACAGATGCTAGTGGTGTGGTTTTCTTTTGGTGTTTTTTTTATCTTTTTTTTTTTCTTTTCCTTTTTTTGGTTGGTTGTTTTTTTTTTTTAGTTGTCTGAAATAAGTTTTGACTTCAGCAGGGCCTCACGTGCACTGGTTGCTGCAGCTGTGTCCTGATACCTTTTTTCTCTAACCTAAACCCAGGTCCCGGTCGAGATCCCGTTCACGGTCCCGAGGTCGAAGGTATTCTCGCTCACGCAGTCGGAGTCGTGGTAGGAGGTAGGTCTCTGCCTATTGTATTTTCATGCTTTTCCTTACTCCTCCATCTGCTCCGCTCCTTTCTGTGCTGCTTGTGAAAAGTAACTTGCAGTAATTCTCGTTGGTTTTCCCTTTCTTTTGTAGATCAAGGTCAGCTTCCTACCGCAGGTCCAGGTCAATCTCTCCTCGTAGGTATAGGTCATTTTCACCCCGCAGATCTCGGTCTGGTTCTTTAAGGAGGTCAAGGTATGTGTCATCTTTTAAGCCCACAACATTGTTGAAGAGAACATAACTGTTGGAGTTATCATTGTTTGTTTGGCAGTTCATGTGCTTGCAAGAAACTTCATTGTGTAACATGTGTGAGAGCTAGTCTGAATGCTTTGTTTGATGTTAAAAGTTAAACATACAATTCTGGTGTTGCTCTTTCTGAGCTCTTTTATAACCGTACTGAAGTTACAGCTTCAATCTAAGGTTAAGTTTTCCTACTTCACTTGTAAGAATGCAGGGAGTAACTGTGCTTTATCAGCTAGGGCAGTAGGATTTCTTATATGGTAGGTAGTACTGGCCAAAATGTACTATAGCTTTCTAATAATAAAAGTTATTTCTGCAGAACTGATAGTTCCAACAAAATTATATGAGATGAGTATCATAAAAGTCAAAGAATATTAGCTTTATGAATCATGTAGTAGTAGTAGTTGATCTGTTGCTGCTTTTTTCCTAGATCTAGGTCCAGATCACGCTCGAGGTCCCGGTCTGTTGTATGGCCACGAAGCAGGTAAAATACTTGTTTTAATTCAAACCTATAATGGTATTGGGGATAATTTTTTGTGGGTTTTTTTTGCCTTTTCTGAGAGAGTTTGGCTGGAAGGGTGTAGGAGGTTGTGCAGCATAGGAACGTTTGCGTTTAGTGTTTTACTAATTTTTACAGGCTATAGTAGTGGCTGATTTCTTTTAATAAACATGAACTTGTTTGGTGTGTGGCTACTATACATAGTGTCTCTATAGCCATAAACAAAGCAGATATATGCTTTAAGGTCTGTGGAGAGAAGTTTTGCGGAGTAGTTAATGCCTGTGCATGTAGGGAATGCTTGACGTTGGGTCCTGCAGGAAATGTTGCTTAGGGTTTTTTTGGCATGTTTCTTTTGTAAATCCCAGATGCTGGGGCTGGGTGGGAAGTGATGAGGTGGTTGGCACTATTGACTCAACTCTTGCTTACAGCTTTTCAGCTTTGTCAGTTCCAGTTCTGAGAGTTAGATCAAATTAAATTGCCGAGAACTGCATTACATGGGGTAAGACGCTTGACTTGAGAGGTTTGGAGGGCTGAGTGGACAGGACCATGAGTCCTAATGCCACAGGTGGTGGTTTTAAGGACTTTGCTGACATGTAGCCGTAGTTTTATGAATCTGGATATTTTCCATGCTGAAAAGGAAATTGAGTAAAGTGGATACAGAGTTAATGTTGCCGTATTATTTTCCTCTATCCTTTGTAGTAAGTTTTAGTTGGAAGAAGGGTGAAAGAGTAGGATAAAAATGTGGTGGACATGAGAGTTGAAGTTAGCAATAATTGTCTTCAGTTTTGTACTAGTTTGAGGCAAGAGAAATGTTTTCTAGGAGTCTTCTACAGTAGGACTTACAAATTGAGCTTTAAGGGGGATGATGATTATTACTAGAGCTGTCCTGTCTTACTACTCATACAGGCCTGTAATGAAGGCTCAGAATGCATGGTGCTTCTTTGGAAGAGTCTGGATGCTGCTGATGTTGCTAGATGACATCTAGTTCTGGGACGGTCATGTCCCATGGGCATGAAGGACTTGATACTCATGTTGAAATTTCTGGGGAATGCTGACTTTGCACAGGTGTGCAGTTACAGTGGCAAGAAGTGGTAGTTCAGGACTAGAGCATTGGCAGCATCATGAAAACTCCAGCACTTCTTGTCTTCTGCTAATACAGCAAAACAGAAGTACAAAACTGGTGCTGCTTTTGGAGCTTTTATCTCCAGTTCTACTTTGTTGCTGTGCCTCTCGGAAGATGGGTTTGACAGCCGTTTTCATAACAAGATGATGCTCTTGTGTGCTGGAGGTCCTGCTTAAGCTACAGAATGCGAGCTCTGGGTAGTTGTGAGCAACCCCATCCTGTGATACAATAGCAAAACAACTGGGTATAGTGTTAAGAATTGTGACCAGAATGGTTTCAATGTAGTGGCATGTAACTTTTGGTTTAACTTAGGGCAACAGTGTTCATATAGTATTTCTGTCAGCTTATAGGCTTGGTTACCCTTCAAAGGCAGTTCTGAGCAGACATAAAATCATGGAATGGCTTGGGTTGGAAGGAACCTTAGAACTCATCTAATTCCAGCCTCCCTGTTGCAGCACTGGGCTGGTTTAGGTTGGAAGGGACCTTAAAGCTCATCTAATTCCAACCCCCTGCCACAGGCATGGACACCTTCCACTAGAGCAGGTTGCTCCAAGCCCCATCCAACCTGGCCTTGAACACTGTGAGGGATGGGGCAGCCACAGCTTCTCTGGGCACCCTGTGCCAAAAGTTTCTTAGTTTTTTTTGGCCAAGTCTGTTAAACAACTGACTCTCATGAGCACCAAGGCTTTCTGATGTTCAGTAGTACCACATGCCTGAATTCTGACATTCTAGGAGTGCAGATATTTTCTAAGTAACAGCAAATACTTGAGTTGGTAAAGTAACAGAAATGTCAGGAAAGTATCACTGTTGGAGTAGATTATAATTCATAAGATTAACTGGGAATAGTTTATGCTTTAGTAGCCAGATAGTAAGGAGAAAACCAAGATGCTGTTTTCATTGGGATAACTGATGGAAAAGCTGTATTATACTTGAATATATATGGGGAGAACATGTGGGAGCCTGCTACGAGATCTTCTGTTTTGTGAAAGTGGTAGCTGAAGCTTTGCTGGGAAACTTCTTGTGCTTGTACTCTTGTTTTCTGATGAGTGGGGTCTCTGGAATGAGAGCTAGAGGATTCTTCTGAACTATCACAAGAGAAGCCTGCAGCACCAGAGCCTCCTGCTCTGGTTTGTGATGCCACGTAGTATGAACTTGCTGTTGCTGGTTTAGCTAACTTTCATTGTATGTGCATGCCACTGGCTGCTTTGCTGAGCTTTATTTTTCTCCTGTTGTAGGTCTGGGTCCCATGGTAGATCTAAATCTGGCTTACCTGCTAAAAGGTGAGCATATGCAGCACTCAGTATGTTGTGTTTTGGAGGTTTTTTGATTTTCCTCATGGTTCAAAATCTCTGCTTGGACCAGTATTACAGTTGCATGTGGAAAAGGTCTGGTGAGGGTTCTTTCTTTCTCTTATAGTTCTTTTAATAGCTGTTTTTAAAGTATTTTTCATACATTAACGTGGGGTTTTTTTATTGCTGGTTTTTATTTTTTTTTGTTGGGACACTAAACAATTCTTCCAGCATTGTGGATACAGGTTTTTGTGTTTTTGTTTAACCCATGATTGTGACAAAAAGTATTTTTGACAGCATTTGGGGCGTATCTTT